GTCCCTTGTGAAAGGGCTGACCTCTGTTTAAATAGTGACTATATGGTCTTCCAGTCCTGGTGGGACTGGGAGTCCTCGTAGTGGTAGTTCTCCCAAAGGGTGTAACCTTTGGCTCCTTTATCTCAGCAGGAAAGGGAGTTCGAGTGTGACTCGGATACAGACCTTGGAGGAATTGGGATAGTAGTTGACTTCCTTATCAGAATCCAAGTAGGAGTGTAATTCGTAGGCGATTATGGGCTCCGAGTTGACCGTAAGCCCAGAAGGTATTCTAGGATTAGGAGGCCTGGGTCCAGATGGTAAGGACTGAGAAGGAGCACCAGACGGGACTCATTTGCAGAACTCTGAGTTGGGCCCCATCAGAATTGGGCCTTAGCTTTTCAGCTTTGTTGAAGGTGTCTTCATCTTTGGGCTTACTTGGGCCGAGGCATTTTTTAGCCTTAACAGTTTGCCCCTAACTCTCTGAGTTAAGGAGTGCTTAGCTTAGAGAGTAAACATTGTCTAGAGATACATCTGGTTGGCCTTCGTGGCCTACTGGTTGAGTTTTTGAATGTGTTGCTTCTATGTTCCCTGGAACGAATGATGTAAGCTTTTGCTGTCGGCAGGGAGTTCGGTACGTCAGTGTACCATGCGAGATGAAACCTAGTCATGCACGCGTCCAATGCGTCCGACAGAGTGAGGAAGTGAATTGGCCTTGTTGGATTCGTCCAATGTATCGAGTTGAGGAGGAGTTTGAAAGAGTGCACAAAATCCTCTCACTCGACCTACCTTCCCGAGCGAAAAGGTCTGCGAATCCTCCTATGATAGTGTTTGTCCAGTGTATACGGATGAATAGCTGTGTTGGTTGTTCCCTAGTAGTGACTTAGCTTGGTGTAACGAGTTGGGTGAGCGTGTGTATGAGCAAACTTTGAAGGCATGCCCGGTCGATACTTCCCACCAAGCTGAATACGATAGGCTCAACTTGGTGGTGTCGTAGGCTTGTTGGTTGAATGCGAATGGATGAAAGTATGTGTGATTTGGATCGAGGAAGTTGTTCGCTCGGTCGAGTTGACCGAGTGGTGGAGCTCATGTTCTGCTGAGAAATGTTCGGTATGAGGCTAGATAACGGAGGCTGGAGAGTCAATAATTCCAGCGGTGACTTTGCTTGGTAGGGTGAACCAAACGAATGGTTGCGTTGCGACACGTGTATAGTTGAGCAGTCTTCTGCATTTGGGCAGGAAAATCAAAATATCGCAGTTCTCGATGACCAACCGTAGGCTGCCACATGTTAATTCTGACACCTTTTCGTTGATAAAACCCGTGGGGCGTGCGATCGCTTCATCTTCTCTTTTCTTTCTCTTGCACTTCACATTTTTCTCTGAGTTTGGGGTTTTCTTCGCAGCTTTGAAGGTTTATTGGATTTTGGCCATTTCTAAGGTAAATGCTCATTCCTTTATGCTCTTTTCTTTTTAGTTCCTTGTTTTCTTCATTTCTGCGGTGTTTTTTTTGGAGAGATTGAGCAAAGTTTGGGAAGATTTGGTGGGTTTGGTGGCTTTTGAAAGGTTTTGCCTAAGTTTTTGGAGGTGTCGTATTTTATTTTTAGAACAGGCTTGAATTTTGGATTCCTGGAAAGATTATGGGTGATTTGAGCGGGTTTTCCTGGTTTTTTGAAGTTTTTGGAATTTTGGACAACGAAAAGAAGACGAAACTAAGTTATGGAGTGTCTCAGTTTGGCTCGTCTCGGTCTGCCTGACCCAGTCGAGTGAAATGGTATGGGCTAGGTTTTGAATAACTAGGAAAGTTAGGATACGTAGGTCGCCCGATCATCCCGATTGAGTGGTATGAGAGTCGTATGAAAGGCTAAGTTGAGCAGGCGTTTGGTGGCCCAGGCCGAGCATATGGTTATACAGTTGCGTATTCTCATTTTGGAGTAGTTAGTTGGTGATTTAGGGCGAGTGAAGCTATAGAAGGGAGTCGTGCCCTGAACTGAGGAGGTCGGTTGCCAGGGGCAAGCGGGTTCAACTAGTTATTAGTTTTGAAAAGATTAGGTCGATCGGTAGTAAGGGACGAACGGTGATTTGACACTTAGATTTTGGGGAGTGTAGGTTCTGAACAGGAGAGGTCAGGCAGTGGTGGGGGCGAGCGGGGGTCAAGTTAGAATAGTTTGGAGACAATGGTTAGTTCAGTGGTGTGGGGAGAGCGGGTCAGGTATTTTTGAAAGGAATAGGTCGGTCAAGGAGAGTGAATAGGTTGAACAATGTCTGGGTCGGGGTCCAATAGTTCGAGTGGGGTAGAGGCAGAGGTCGGGAATGAGTACGAGAATGACCCGACCATGGTGATGATGCCCGAAGGTTGGGGCGTTCTAGTCAGTATACCAACCAGGGTGAACGTAGCTGCCCCTAGGACGAGTGGGGCTAACACGGGTGATGATGAGCCTGGCAGGTAAGAGGGGAGTGGGGAAGACTCCGAAGGAGTTGGTAATCTATCCTCATCCGATAGTAGCTCTGAGGACGAGTCGAGTCAGCCGGGTGGTGGGATATTGAGCCGAGATTATTCGCCCCTTCTGAAGGACAATGATATGTGGCGGATCCAGACAATGTATCAGATTCCAGAATTCGTTGAGATTAGGACAGCTTAATCGTATGAGTGGGTCGACTGGGAAGCAAAGGGATGGGTGAGCGCCTATGAGAAGTGATAGACTTTTTGTCACTTGGACGCCTTGATCTCGTGCCTAAAGCGGATCGACCGAGAGTGGCTCTATCGGCGGCCCTTGTTCCTTATCAGTCAGGGCTGAATCGTCAACTAATGACGAACATGGCTGACGCGACCTCATATCTAAGATTGCGGGTCTGGAGAGGTTGCATAGACGGAACCGAGGCGCGAAACCGATTGGGTGGTGCCTGATAAGGTAGAAGCTCAAGATCATAAAACTGACTTACCTTCTCTTTTAGAGATTGGTTCTCGGCCCTGATGGAGGAGTTCTCGGTTCAGATGGCAGTGTTCTCAGCTTCCAGTGCAGCCACCTTGTTTAAGTGCTGTTGCATGAGAGCGATCAGAGCCTCCAGTTTGTTCGAGACCAGGATTAGTGGTATCAGAATTATCAGTCATGGAGAGTTTCTTCACGTAGCAGGGTTTGTTGAGAAGAATGATTGCCAGAGGCCCCACAGTGGGCGCCAAACTGTAGATGCAAAAATCTACCGTTACAGAAAAAGGGACTGATCCCGTGAGGTTGAGGGCACTAGTGATCTGCTTTACCTACACACATGAGAAAAGAAGTGTGAAGCAGACGGACGTAGGCACTTCGATGCTCAAGTCAGCAAGGCTGAGTGAGGCTAGTTTAGTGAGGTTTAGGGAAAGAAAAGTTACCAGAAGTCTATTCGGAGACCGTGACTACGACTGTAATGCGAAGTTCTCAAGTGGGAACTCTAGTGTCTGAAGGTGTAATGTTTTTGTCCCTTGTGAGAGGGTTGACCTCTGTTTAAATAGTGACTATATGGTCTTCCAGTCCTAGTGGGACTGGGAGTCCTCGTAGTGGTAGTTCTCCCAAAAGGTATAACCTTTCGCTCCCTTATCTCAGCAGGAAAGGGAGTTCGAGCGTGACTCGGATACGGACCTTGGAGGAATTGGGATAGTAGTTGACTTCCTTATCAGAATCCAAGTAGGAGTGTAATTCGTCGGCGACTGTGGGCTCCGAGTTGACCGTAAGCCTATAAGGTGTTCTAGGATCAAGAGACCTGGGTCCAGATGGTGAGGACTAGTAAGGAGCACTAGACGGGACTCATTTGCAGAGCTCCGATTGAGTTGGGTCCCATCGGAATTGGGCCTTAGCTTTTCAGCTTTGTTGAAAGTGTCTTCATCTTTGGGCCTACATGGGCCGAGACATTTTTTTGCCCTAATGGTATCTAGACTCACATCGAAGATATTTGAGATATCCAAGTCCATATTGAAACTATCTAAGATATCTAGACCCACATTAAAGCTTGTTTAATCTTCAGAGCCACGGAATATCCTACAAACTCAATGAATAAAAGAAGTAGGTATCTCTTCTAGTCCACAGATCAAGACCCCTTGGACAAACTAACCGTCTAAACTTAGTCATTAAAGGTTTTTCATCCAACCACAAAGGGAAATGTTGGTTTTGAGACCTGTGAGGGTCATATTTATGGATCCTCGTTGGAGATTTCATAGCCACAAAAATTCTTTATGGCTTGGAGACCTTCCTCTTGTTTTGGCACCGGGAGGAGACCTTAAATACTGTAGTTAAATTTTCAAGTGGATTACTACAATCTTTCTTAATACGTATCCTGTAAAGTGAAGTCCTCCATTTGTTTGAAGGCAAGGCGTCTTTAAATATTTTACTAAAAACGCCATTAGTAATTGTTGCTTAGTGCTTTTAACACTTTCAATTTAAAATTTCATCCACTTTTTCACTTCCAAAAGTCAAGTCGAGAGATGACATGCACATGCTCGATCCTATATATGCTCAACATGTAATTTAATGGTAAAACAATTACTTCAATGTGCTCAATTAATTGAGTCAACATCATATATATGAGACTCGGATTAATACATGATAAAGACGGTCCAACAACAAATACAGTATATAGATTTGATCGTTTTATGTTTTTAAAAACTTACTTAGAAACGTACCCTTTTACAGACGTTAACATTTTCCCAAAAGAATTCCCCTCTTATTTAATGTATTATAATGAGATTATGTAGTGAATAATATACTATATAATGGGTTTCTTTTAATACACTTTCTCTGCCCTGATTAAAGAAATTGAGCAAACATCTAAAATAGAATTCAACATTTCAACCGGGTTCATGTTCTTGATTATTAGAAAAATAATTTAAGAGTACAACAAAGACACAGATCGTTGTTTAGGGTACCCTACATGAATAGGCGGTGGAGGGTAGTATTGGGTCCATGTGTGCTGGCTCTTCAGCAACGAAATCATATATAGGAGACAATACAAATATGCCCCAAAACACTTGTTCAATTTCCACCACATACAACTAATTCTAACCCAAAACAATGAATCATCAAATCTCATCTCATGCAATTCCACCATTTAATTATCCTTGATTACAGGCAATAACACATGGTTTCCTGCTTAATTTATCACCACCCACTTTCTAATCTACAATATTTAACTGAGTTTTCAATGTGTTCATCATTGCAGTCACATCTTCCTTCTTGTATATAATTTATATATATATATAGACAGTTAGACATACAAATTCTACTTCAAAAGTGAATTGATCAGAGAGAGGTAGGGAAATGGCTAACCAAGAGAAGCTAAAGAAAGGATTCATGTCTTTCTATAAGTCCGCCGCCGCTAAAATTAATCACAAGCCAAAGTCTCAGCCAGTAGTTAAACACGTGACAGAAATTCCACCAAATAAACCACTTCCAGTACTGTCGCTGCCGTCACATAAGTTGTTATTAAAGAAGCAACTGGAAATCTGTGAGGAAAGTGAGGATGGTGATCAGCGCAGAGGAGGAGGAGGAAATTTGGTTGAGGCGAGAAAGTCAGTGTCTCACGTAGAAACAAATGTGGCATCAGTGATTGCATTTCTTCAAGTGAAGGTGTTGGTGTCTGATATGCCTGGATTCATGCAGGCCCATGCCTTCAGAATTGCCCGGCGAACCTATGATACCTTGGAGAAGTTCAGCTCCAAGCACATTGCTTTTAACATTAAAAAGGTATACATTTTTTTTTTTTTTTTTTTTTCCCAACAAATTAAATTTCTTGCTATTTTTGCCGTGCATCTTCAACTGTGGCCGGCTTTATATTTCATATATGTAATGTATAGTACTCTTTTGGTGTTTCTTTTTGGATTTTTGTATGGTAGATGATTAGATTTAGTTCATGGAAACCCCACAAGGAATTAGACTTGATACTTTAGAGATGAATACTACTCATGATGAATTCAGAATAATTAGGGTTGATTTTGTGGAGGAAAACAACAACAGAACAGAAACATGGAGTACTTTCTCTCACTTTACATTGATCATCAACAGTTACCTTGGTCAATTAATTATATTATTGATGAAATAGTTAATGATCCAGCAACCCATGTGTGCGAGAGCAATCAATGGAACCTCAAATTTCAAATCCCTTAAAAATAATTATCAAATCTCATTCTCTGATCTCTTACTAATTAATGTTTGCAACAGTGATCATGTCGGTAATGTTAATAAATCTAATCATCTTCGGCTAATCATGTGCTTCCTCTCTCTAATCTCAATATCTCTCAAATATTTAATTCAATAATGCATAATAGTTAAAAATGTGACTCTATACATGCAGGAGTTTGATAAAATGTATGGTCCGGCTTGGCATTGCATTGTTGGTGCAAGTTTTGGCTCCTTTGTCACCCATTCAACAGGTTGTTTTCTATACTTTTCAATGGAGAAACTGTATATTCTAGTGTTTAAAACAAAAGTTCAGAAAGCTTTAGATTGATGAGATCATAGATTCATTGGAGAAACTAATGATTATTCATATCATTTGAATTTTTTCTTCTGTTTCTATGATCAGTTGATTAATTACATGATTTCTCTAAGTTTGTAAATTTAATATGTGTTAATGAAAGAGTTGTACTCATGTGATGTGAATAAAATAATGTAAATTAAAATATCTGCATTAATTACGTGGTTGATAAGACTCAAAGCACCAGCCAGGTTTGATCTGGTGGTCCTCTGAGGCTGCTGATGGCTATGTATTTGGCCATTTCGTGTTTGTCTTTAAACAAAAGGGTGGCCGAGTCTTGTTTTTTCCTAGCTACCTTCTCACCAAAATCATGCACCAACCTTTTTTCAACTATTATTTGGTGTGCATATATATATATATATACACCTTTTACATGAATATATAGACTTTACATAAGCTATACCAGTGTGAAATAATATGATAAATGATCATGTATGTTAGTCTTGATTTTGAACTTAAAAATAATTCAGTAGTGAACTCAATACGAATTCTTTATACATACTCTTAATTCTTAAACGTTCAACAATAATAAAAAATCATTTATCACATATTCACCAACACACTTTTACTTTTACCCAGTAAACACTTCTCAGAACTGACTTTTATATAGTTATTATCTGAGTTTTTGAGTGTTGTCAACTGTACTAGTCCTAGCGCAACTTATTTAATTGCTTGGCTCAAACAGCTAATGGAGAGTTATGTAATTAATTAAGGTTCCCTAATTTGTCAAATATAATAAGATTAAAAAACTCTACAAGCAATATTGATTCCCCATTAGAATGGTTCAAGGATAATATAATAGTAACTTAGTACGATCTCTATATTACATATTAATTTGCTTTGAATTTAGACTTTTCTGCTTTTCCAATTCATGCTAGTCAAGTATTTCAGCTCTTTAATTCTAAATATTCATCCGTCCAGAGAGACATTTACACTCTAATTTTCTTTCTCAAATAATTTTAAAGCGATCAACATATCAACGTAATAAAATTTGGACATATATATGTTAAGCCAGACAAAAGAAAAATTAGAAGAAGAGGAGAAAACAATCAATATATTTGGCTCTATCTTAAAAGCAAGACTTCCCTGGCCAGACAAAAAAAATAAAAAAAAAGACATGATCAATAAAATCAATGATTAATTGCCAGACATTCAACATCAAGGAAAGCATTTAATTATGTTATTACAATTTGCTTGGACATTATATGATGGTCGGCAGCTTAGCTTCTTTATGCACATACATCTAATGGAGTAGAAACTAAAGAGGCGAGAAAATCATACTATATATTATACGGGAATCACTGACGTTACCAACTAAAGCCGTTCAAATTGCAATAAAACTTAATTAACTAAATGTCAAACTATTGAAAAACACCTAAAATTCTCTTTATTTAATTCATTATTAAGTCCAATTCATCATGATTTGCAAGTTTGAATTAATGGAGCGTTTCAAATCATCATTCACAGAACAGGAGATCATTTTGATTATAGATTTTGCACTCTTATCTCTAACCATGTCAAACCAACTAGCATCACAAACCATATTCAAGTCATAATCACACTCTAGAATGGCCATTTTCATTGAAAAGAAAAAAAAAAAAAAANTGTAAGGACTCTCCGTTGTGCTGCCTTATACCACAAATTTCTTTCCGAATGTTTGCTGCCCTCGAAGCTGGGAAGTATTTCTCCAAAAATAATCTCTTCATCTCGTTCCATGTGGTTATAGTTCCGGAGGGTAGATAATAGAGCCAATCCTTAGCCGCATCCTTCAAAGAAAACGGGAAGGCTCTTAATTTGATTTGCTCCTCGGTCACCCCCGTAGGTTTCATACTCGTGCAAACCACATGAAGCTCCTTTAGATGCTTGTGAGGGTCTTCACCTGCAAGACCATGAAAAGTGGGCAAGAGATGTATTAGTCCAGATTTCAATTCAAAAGTAGTAGCAGCATCTAAAACAGGAAAAGTTATGCATAAAGGTGCTTGATTCAAATCAGGGGCAGCAAGCTCTTTCGAAGTCCGATTTCCAGCCATGACGTCCTCCTCTTCTAAATCAGAATTGCTTTCCTCAAAATCTCTCCAAACTTCCTTCCTTAACCTACACAAAGTGTTTTCAATTTCTGGATCGAATGTTAATTCACCAAGGTTAGAAGACCTGGTCATACAACAAAAAACCTAAAAAAAGAATTAGAATGAATGACAAAAATTGAAAACTAACTAGAAAATTTAAAAAAAAAAAATTAAGTTAAATTGGCCAAAAACACTAAAATGGTAGAAACTGTATCAAAACATTCGAATTTGGCCTCAAGAGGGTAGGGCTAGAAAATTTTCTAGTTTTGCTCAAAACGTTGTTTTCTTCAAAACGGGTACTCGCAACACTCCTAACTCAACCAAAATTTTTCTTATGAATAGTACTACTGTTCATCCGAAACAGTACTACTATTCACAGTTTTTTTCTTTTCTTTTTTTCTGCAAAATAAAAAAAAATATAACAAAAAACGCAATAAAAAAAAATCACAAAAACAAAAATAATCAACTAGAATCACTCCCCGGCAACGGCGCCAAAATTTGGCGTGTTGTCGTAGGCACCCAGAATTAAAACCTTCCGAACCTAACTACTGAACTGTAAATAGGGTAAGCAAGGGTTGATCCCACGAAGAATGTCTAGCCGAATTTTCTTTGATGTGAATAATAGGCAGCCTACTTTACTTATCCTCTACCAGGCCAGATATAATGTTTGCTACATCTCTACTGTCCAGGTTTATGCATTCACCAGGAAAATCTCACTGGTGTGCTGCCAAAAGGGTGTTACGATACATAAGGGGAACTATCAATTTTGGTTTGTGGTTCTCTAAAGATGGTAGCAGTCAACTTATAGGCTACTCAGACAGTGACTGGACAGGAAGCTTAGATGACTTTAAAAGCACTTCGGGTTACTGTTTTTCATTTGGAAGTGCTATGTTTTGTTGGAACTAAAAAAAACAAGAAATAGTAGCTCAATCATCTGCAGAAGCTAAGTATGTAGGTGCTGCAAGTGCTGCTAATCAGGCCATTTGGCTGCGAAAAAATCTTTCAGATTTGGGACAAGATGAACAAGGAAGTGTTACACTCTTTGTGGATAACAAGGAAGCCATAGCAATTACCAAAAATCCAGTTCATCATGGTAGGACTAAGCATATTAGTGTCAAGTTTCATGCTATTCGTGAGGCTGAAAATACAGGTGAAATCAAATTGTTGTACTACAGTTCAGAAGATCAAGTGGCAGACATTTTGGCCAAAGCTCTTCCTAAGCCTAAGTTCGAAAATCTGAGAATGAAACTTGGGGTATTAAATAACAAACACCTCAAGGAGGAGTGTTATAAGATTGAGGTTGTTTGTATCTCTTATTTTTTTCAAGTCAGTGGAGCAGTTGTGTTAGTTGAAGTTTTTTGGTTAAAATGTTTGGTGATCCTTATTTTAAGGAATTGTTGCTACTTTATGTATGTTGTGCTTTAATTAAGGGATGGTGTGTCAAATTTTTACATATTTTTGTTAGTCATGTAAATTGTATTAACGCACATGTGAATGTAAAGAAAAAGAAAAGAAAGCTTCAGCTCTCGTCTGTTTTTTTCCCTCTGTTTTTTCTTTCCTCTGTTTCTCTTGATTTGCTTCCTTTCTGCATAAATTTGTCTTGCTTCATCAGTCTAATTTATTCTCAGCCTTGACAACAGCATGGCCGCATGGGTAAGAACAATGGATGTTTCAGGGCTACTTATAGCCTTACACTTCTTGTGCTGTCATAATATCATAATTTATTTAATAAAAAAAAAGCCTTCATATTACTTCTTTGAGCAAGACAGATTATGATTAGCAACTAAAATTGAAATTCTTAACATGCCAATATGTTTCCTCATATTGGGAGAGTATCTGAGCTTTTCAAAGGGCCTGCAAGAAATAAATGCATTCAACAATAAGTATAATGTACAACGTAATCCCTGCCAATACTTCTAAAATGCAAAAAGTACCCTTTCACTTCGACTACATCTTCTGGTTTCAAGCTTGCAAAATGCTGACTCATTTTTCTCTCAGGGTACACCTGAAAAAATTATAAAGGAGTGGACAAATGCAATTAATGTGCACGGATATCTTCAAAAGTGGAAACTGAAAAAATAATGAGAATTAACAATGTACCTTAATTAATAAGTCAAAGTATCCCTTGGAATCTGGATCTGATATAGGAGTATACCTGAACATAAAAGATAGAAATATCACAACATACTAATCAAATAAGCTTATCAATAAAATAGATAAACAAAATTAACCTGCTATAGAAAATATTAAGAACATCTAGCAACATAGCGTGGAACATCATCCAGTCATTTCAGAACAAGAACATCTGATGGTAAGTGCACAATCCGCACAATATATTTTCTTAGGTATTCATGACATTTGGTGTTCAGCAACAAGTTAGTTCCTCCCCACCAGCATTTCGACAGGGAGATGAGAGAGAGTGAGAGCGAACTTAGAATCAATAAGCTGAAGAGTCTCTAATGAAAATTTATAAATTATGTGGTTTTGACCAGAAAACCATCCTCAACATGAAAAAGTACATTGGATATAAGGCAAACCTCAAAATCAGTAATCTGTTAGAAGATTGAGGTTGTTTGTATCTCTTACTTTCTTTCAAGTCAGTAGAGTAGTTGTATTAGTTGAAGTTTTTTGGTTAAAATGTATGGTGGTCCTTATTTTAAGGAACTTTTGCTTCTTTATGTATGTTGTGCTTTAATTAAGGAATGGTGTGTCAGTTTTTTATATATTTGTTAGTCATGTACATTGTATGAATATGTTTGTGAATGAAAAAAAACATCTTTAGCTCTCGTTTGTTTTTCTCTCTATTTTTCTTTCCTCTATTTCTTTTGATTTGCTTCCTTATTGCATAAATTTGTCTTGCTTCATCAGTCTAATTTATTCTCAGCCTCGACAACATGGTATCAAAGCTTTTCTGATCTTAAGGGGTGTGTTCATTCTAAAGTTATCAGAGTTTTAAAATTCTATTTAGATCACTAGTTCACCATGGCTTCTTCATCTTCATCAATGTCACCACCAGTTTATAACGGTGAGCTCTATCATTTATGGGCTATCAAAATGAAAGCCGACATGAGAGGTTTAGGCCTATGGCAATATAAGGAGGAGGAGAAACAACCTCCTCCTTTGGGGCCAAATCCAACATTAAATCAGTTAAGATTGCATGAAGAAGAAGTTGCTAAAGCGCCTAGAGCTTTATCAATCATTCATCAAGGTGTAATTGATGCAGTATTTACTAAGATTTTTATGTGTGAGACTGCTAAGAAAGCATGGGAAAGATTGAAAGAAGACTCCTTAGGGAATAAAAGATCAAGGCAGATGAATGTCCTTAATCTAAGGAGAGAGTTTGAAGTTCTTATAATGAAGGATGCTGAAACTATTAATGAATATGCTAATAGAATTATGAAAGTTGTAAATCAGATAAGGTTAATGGGTGAAACTCTTTCTGATCAAAGGATTATGGAGAAAATTAAGGTGAGCATTCCCAAGAGGTATGAGGCTAAAATCACCTCTCTTGAAGACTCTAAAAATTTCTCTGATCTTACCTTGTCTGAAGTGATAAATGCCTTGAAAGCTCAAGACCAAAGGAGAGCTATAAGGCATGAAGAATTTGCAGAAAGTGCTCTTAATGCTAAGCTGCAAAAGAAAAATTCTATCAACAACTCAATGAATAAGCAGACTATTGACAGAAAGGAATAGAGAAAAGTAAAGGGCAAGTTGCAAGGTGAAAAGAAAGGCAAGTATGCTCCTTGTCCTCTGGTGTGCTGTCGTACGCAACCAAGATTAAAACCTAAAAACACATGTAGTAGTGTGAGTCAGGGTCATTCCCACGGAAAGTGTCTAGCCGAATTCTATGTTATGTCAACAAGGCAAGGGTTTTTTTTTTTTTTTTAGTAAAACAGAAAAAATTTCAGAAAATGCAATTCAAACTAAATTACTAAAATCAATCAAAACAACCAAACTTGGTCTAAGTCAACATCCACCATCGGAATCTTATAACTGATCATTGATGCAAAAATAAATCAATTCATACCTTGATTATTCACCATTGGAACTATTTTCCTATTTCTCCTTAGTCGTAATTAATTAGGAAACAAGCGTTCTAATTAATCTTACTACTAAACAACCCTAGACAAGCGCTAAAGGTTTAATCTAGTGGCAGCCTTAAGGGCTAGAGAAATCGATGAAGCTAAACAACACAAACACAAGCGGTTGTATTTAATTTAGTCAAGTGTTCTTTGTAAGATTACTAATTCCTACCGCAGCAAATTATTAACCCTAATTGCTTCACAAGTTAGAGGAATCAAACAATTACAGATTTGATATCTAACTTAGCAATAGATTGCAACAATTAATAAACTAGTAGGCCTCCTAGTAATTAAATGCAACAATCATGACACTAAACATAGAAGAACATCCAATACTCAAACACGAAAATTGAACACTAAAAAAAAAATAGATTAGATCTCACAGTTTATTAATTCCGAGGTCTCTGTTTCCTTCGACCAAGTTACAAAAGTCAGCCACTCATGGCCATCACGAAAATACCAAAGCGAAAGTTTCAGAGAGGAGCCCAAAGAGAGGCGTGGTCTCTTTGTCAAAACCTAATCTGATCTCCTCCTCAATATCCCATTCGAATTTTAATTCTCCTCAATCTCTTCAAAATATAAAATCCTAAAATAACCTTTATCCTAATCTAAGTAATTCAAAATAAAATAAAGTCTTAATACAAAATAGGAAAGTGGTGTTTCCAATTGTAATTTACGTGCAATAGGTCTTCAAAACTCCTTGTAATAATCTGCCTATTTGAATTGCATGACAAGGCGAAATGTTCTAGAACGTCAGCAGTGCAGGTGCGTCAAATTCAAGCGCGATTAAAACGTTGATGCAGCGAGTATCTCTCCAACACAGAAAGTTTTAGATCTATTTCTTAGCGTTCTACAACATTTTGAATCATCTCAATCGGAGCTCGGATGAGAGAGTTATGCCCGGATTATGAAACAAAGTCGAAACTGTCAGAATTCACTTAATTAGTTCCGTTTTACAATTAACGCCTCCATTTGCTTCCTAAATCAAAATAGAATAATAATCAGTAAATTTTAGGCAACAAATAATTATAAATACAAGACATTAGGGGGGTAAATATGACATTTTGCATTCTCATCATCCTCATTGTAAAAAGAAGGGGCATTCTCCAAATTATTGCTAGTACAAACATAATGTCAGATGCAGGTCATGTAACCAGCTTGGACACATTGATAAAGTGTGCATAAATGTAAGTGGAATCTAAGCTCAGCAAGCTCAACAAACTCAACAAATTCATTCAACTGAGAAACAAGAAGACGCTGGAGAAAATCTTTTTGTTGCAACTTGTTATGCAACTCAGAATAATTAAACCTCCTGGTTAATAGATAGTGGTTGTTCAAACCATATGACCTTTAATGCTAACATTCTCAAAGACTTGGATGAATCTTATTTTTCCAATGTGAAAATTGGAAATGGTGAAATGTTAGGTGTCAAGGGAAGAGGAGCGGTTGTAATTGATACTCCAACAGGTACCAAATACATTCAAGATGTTCTTTATGTACCTAAAATTAATCATAACTAGCTAAGTGTAGGACAGATGCTAGAAAAAGGTTATTCTCTGCATTTTCAAAACAAATCATGCACCATTGTTGATCCTTGTCGTAGTGAACTTATGACTGTCAATATGATAGCAAAGAATTTTGCTATAGACTGGAATGTAGCTAGCACTAAGGCTTATCAGCATACTGAAATTGATTCAAATTTATGGCATAGAAGGCTTGGACACTTCAACTATGTAACTTTAAAAAGTATGCATGATAAGAAGCTAGTGCTAAATTTACCAATTGGTGATGATCATCATGGTGTCTGTGAAGTATGTCAGTTCGACAAACAATCCAAGTTACCTTTTTCAAGCAGCAAATGTAAAGCCACTAAGAAACTGTAGCTTGTTCACTTAGATTTATGTGGACTAATGAGTGTTGCTTCTCTAAATGGGAGCAAATACTTTTTAATCTTTATTGATGACTTCTCAAGACATTGCTAGATTTACTTCTTGAAGAAAAAGTAAGAAGTTTTTGATGTGTTCAAGAGATTTAAGGCAGAAGTGGAAAAGCAGTCAGGGTGCAAACTGAAGTTGTTCAAATAAGATAATGGCTCAGAATATACTTCAAAAGAATTCTCCTCTTTCTGCAAAACAGAAGGTATAATACATCAACTAACCACTCCTTACACTCCACAACAAAATGGAATGAGTGAAAGGAAAAATAGGTTAGTGATGGAAATGTGTAGGTGTTTGATGTTTGAAAAAAAAAAACTACCTAAACATTTTTGGGCTGAGGCAGCAAATACTTCAATGTATTTGTTAAATTTGTTGCCCACTAAGGCCTTGAATAACGCCACTCCTTATGAAATCTGGCATGGTTGTAAACCTTCTATTGATCATCTACGAATATTTGGATGTGTTTGTTATGTTCTTGTTCCAAGTGAAAGAAGAAGCAAGTTAGAAGCAAAATCAGAGAAAGAGGTATTTGTTGGTTACAGCCAAGTATCTAAGGGCTATAGAGTGTACAATCCCTCAACCAATAAATTTATGGTTAGTAGGAATGTCATATTTGATGAACAAACAATTTGGAGTTAGGCAGATGATAATGAAGTGAAAGCAGGTTCAAGTTAAAATCCTGGAACCAATGTCTTGTCTGAAAATGATTCATATTCTGGTGATGAAGAAAGTACTCTTGCAATAAAAATGAGATCTCTTGAATATATTTATGGCAGGTGTAATGTGGCCTCTTTAAAGCCAAATTCATTTGATGAAGTTGTCTACAATGAAGGGTGGAAAATAACAATGAAGAATGTAATGGAAATGATTAATAAGAACTCTACATGGAGCCTAATTAAAAAAACTTGAAAATCACAAGGTGATTGGTATCAAGATCTATAGAACAAAATTCAATCCCGATGGCACTATAAACAAGCTCAAAGCTAGATTAGTTGTCAAAGGATATCTACAACAATATGGCATTGATTTCATTGACACTTTTGCTCCAGTAGCCAGTATGATACTATCAGATTGCTTATGGCTCTATCTGCTAAACTTGGCTGGAAAATATACCATCTTGATGTTAAATCAACCTTTTTGAATGGTATACTTGATGAAGATATATATGTAGAGCAACCTAAAGGTTTCAAAGTGCCTGGGAAAGAAAAGCAAGTTTACAATTGCATAAGGCTTTTTATGGCTTGAAACAGGTACCAAAAACCTGGTATAGCAGGATACATACTTACTTGCTAAACCAAGATTTATGCTGCTGTCCAAATGAATCCATTCTTCATGTTAAAAAGGTAAATGGTGATCCATCTCTTATTGTCTCCTTGTATGTTGATGACATCTTTGTGACATGAGGAGATATGAAATCAGTATCTGTTTTCAAGGAGAATATGGAAAAAGAATTTAGATATCAGACTTGGGTGAAATGAGGTACTTTCTAGGTATGGAAATAAATCAAGATCACTCAGGCATATTCATCTCTCAAAAAAAAAAATGCTCAAGATCTGTTGAAAAGATTTCAAATGGAAGGTTGCAAGGCTGTTGCAACACCTTTAGCAGTGAATGAAAAATTGAAGAAGATTGATGACTCAGAAGAGAAAGCAAATGCTATATTATATAGAAGTCTCATAGGCAGACTACTTTATTTATCCTCTACCAGGCCAGATATACTGTTTGCTACATCTCTACTATCCAGGTGGAACTATTGATTTTTGTTTGTGGTTCTCTAAAGAGGGTAGCAGTCAACTTATAGGCTACTTAGATAGTGATTGGGCAGGGAGCTTAGATGACTTTAAAAGCACTTTGGCTTATTGTTTCTCATTTAGAAGTGCTATGTTCTATTGGAACTAAAAAAAATAAGAAATAGTAGCTCAATCATGTGCAAAAGCTAAGTATGTAGTTGCTACAAGTGCCGCTAATCAAGCCATTTGGCTGCGAAAAGTTCTTTCAGATTTGGGACAAGATGAACAAGGAAGTGTTACACTCTTTGTGGACAACAAGGTAGCCATAGCAATCACCAAAAATCCACTTCGTCATGGTAGGACTTAGCACATTAGTGTCAAGTTTCATGCTATTTGTGAGGCTGAAAACACAGGTGAAATCAACTTGATGTACTGTAGTTCAGAAGATCAGGTGGCAAACATTTTGACTAAAGCTCTTCCTAAGCCTAAGTACGAAAATTTGAGAATGAAACTTGGGGTATTAAATAACAAACACCTCAAGGAGGAGCGTTAGAAGATTGAGGTTCTTTGTATCTCTTACTATCTTTCAAGTCAGTAGAGTAGTTGTATTAGTTCAAGTTTTTTGGTTAAAATGTATGGTGATACTTATTTTAAGGAACTTTTGCTTCTTTATGTATGTTGTGCTTTAATTAAGGAATGGTGTGTCTCTTTTTTTGTTATATTTGTTAGTCATGTACATTGTATGAATATGTATATGAATGAAAAAAAACATCTTTAGCTCTTGTCTATTTTTCTCTCTGTTTTTCTTTCCTCTGTTTCTGTTGATTTGCTTCCTTATTGCATAAATTTGTCTTGCTTCATCAGTCTAATTTATTCTCAGCCTTGACAACATAATCAAGCTACATACACAGGAATTGCAAGTTAAAACAAACAAAGATTAGAAC